CCATACATTTTACTGTAACTTTGGCCGGGACATAGAATATCGTTCGTTATATCGAGGACTTCGTTAAATACAGGTTCGTTAAATCGAGGTTCCACTGTACTTGGTTATTGGACTGTATAAACTCAAGTTTTACATTTTACCAGAATTCACGCTGTTCTTAACGTCCTCTAGTGACTCTCAATCTGCGGGATTCTTAGCATGTTTTTAAAATTTGGTTCAATCTCAGCCTCAAAGTTCTTCTTTGCTTGGAAATAGGTTTTTTTTATGTCTTAAGTTTCGGTTTAAGTAATTAATAATTTATCAGTGCCTTTAAACTTTGGGAAGAGTAGATTGGAATAAGCATTAACCACTTCATGGGTTTGAACATGGGGTCATGTGAACAGCCCAGCCATGTAAGCTCGAGTGTTATCCCGATTTCATCTGCAGTAAAGACATGTTTTTCATTCCTCCTCCTTCCCATATCCTAGCCGCTTCTCTTTGTACGTGTTCAGTGCCCAAACTTTACTGGGCAAAACTATGTATGAAGGATTTTCTCGATGAATTTGATATTTTATTAAAGCGGCTATGAGTCTTACCCACAACCATATTACTCCAATCTCGTGTCTGGTTTTTGTTGCCGAGCGGTAAACAGAGCTCAGACAAGGTGGCTCAAGGTCTGTTTAAACATAAACAAAAGCGATCAACATCTGATTTCTCCGTACTGCATCAGAAAGCCATTAAGTACAGATGATAAGAAAATAGTCAAGTGTCAATCACGAAACCCAGTTTGGGTTGATGTACAACCAGAACTAAGATAAGTTATTAGGGAGTTTAAGAAAACCACGACGGCAACGGCAACGGGAACATCGCTAAACAAAAGGTGTAATGAGCTGAGCAATGGCTGTGCACGTGCATTATAATTCTTGGTACATCTCTTTGCCGTCCTCTGCAAAATAACAACGTGAAATGACCAAATTTTGCGTTGTGTGGAGAACGTGAACCACAACGGATAATATTTAAAGTTTATATTTCGAATTTAACGTTGTGTTCAATAACCAGTTTCGAGATAGTTTAGACAAAGAGAACCAAACTAAATGAGTTTAGAGTATCGCGAGATTCGTAGGTAAAATGTAAAGTTATTATTTAATCGACGTTGTCCTCGGCGTCGCCGTCGCTTCTTAAACTCCCTGATAACAATGACAACGGCAAAGGAGAATTTACATCATAATATTGAGAGTCCAAGGATTAAATGTGATGCAACTCAAGTCCAGCAGACAACAGTTGTCTCCAGAACAATCGCCGCTCATGTAACAAAACGTTTACCCATTGAAATAAAACTACAATAACAAAGCTCTGTGCATTGTTTCACTTTGGCTACAAGTCTAAATTCCACTTTGTTTTATTGGTTTATTATCACTTTGCTTATAATCCTAATTGTATCAAAAACGGACAGCACAGCAACGCACAGAATACTGGACATCGTTAAATAATCAGAACAACTAAAATGAGGCACGCTACACTAAAAATGCACAAAGCTACACCTCTTACATTTTCATTGACATATCAAAGATTTGGACAAATAACCAGACTACCGTAAGGCTTCAACATTTTCTAGAACAAAGCGCTTTGATTGTAACGCAAGCGCAGAAGACTAGTCTAAGTTGCTGTATACTAGGTGGAAGCTACAGTACACACGCGACCACGCCCGAACATCGCGAGCTTTTCCTTGTGGTGTAAAGTCTGGTTCACACTTGCGACGTAACGACATAACAAGGGCTTAATCACGTTTATGTCGTTATGCTTACAGTGTGATCATGCTGACGTAATAACACAACAGCATGAAAATAACTACATAACGAAACACTGTTTTTTTCCTTATGTCATTATATCCATGTCGTGCGAGCAACATTGACATAACAACATAACAAAGAACCAATCAGATTGCCGCAAGAATTGTCGAACCCAATCCACCACCAACACTATTTTCAAAATGGCGGCGTCAATCAACTGGTGCGGCCCGTGAGATCAAGAAAGTTAATCCCGTTCACCGGAAATAATATTTTCGATCACCCAAACTCAGTTCTCTGACGAGGTTCTGGTACTAGCCGTGTGCT